TGGATGGACTCTCCCTCTCTTTGGGCTACGTTGAAGATGCTTTCTTCAGTCCGCGGGCACCGCTTGCTGGTGACAAAGTGGGACGTGAAGGCTTGTGCGAACTGCGCCCAACTTCTTATCGACCCGGGTGCCAGGTTCCGGTACCACGTGCGGGCTGCTCCCCTAAAAGTAGTGGAGAAGGCCACACACATGCATGACTCACTGGCTCGCGCCAGGTGCATCTGTGACTGAAAGGCATCTACATGATCTTTCGGGTTAAACGACCCGTCATACTTGTCAAGAGGGGGAAGCTTGAAATCCTTGGGCATCGGGACTGCTAAGAGTTCGGAAGACAGGGGGGACGGAATTGAGAGGAGGGGAGCTTTATCTTCGGCCGAGCCTACCTCTTCTTTGCCCATGGGCTCGGGCAAATTGCGGGTGACAGATCGGCGAGCTCGGCGGCGGCATCTCTGCTTCTTGGTGGGCTCGGCGTTCGTGCTGCTCACCTCCGCGCTGTCTGGAATGGTTTGGGCTGGAAGTAGCCTGGTCTGCTGGTGATGGCTGCGGATAGAAGGGACTTGCCTAGAGTTTGTTTCCAGGGTCTCGAACCGGTTTTCAAGGATCGGGGTTCCGAACTTTGACTGTCGAGGCGACGTTGACCTGCCGGGCTGGGGCCCTCCCGACCTGTCCACCTGCGGCGAGATCGAGGTAGCCGGTTTCTCCCGTCTACCGTGGGGGGAGGCCTGGTTTTTCGGGAGATTTTGGGGGGCCTCTCCTCGGCCGGAGTGCTCGCTCTGACGGCGAGATTTGACTTGCTGCGAGGCCAGGTGCTGAGGCTGGAGCTGAGGCTGTTGAAGCTGGGGTTGGGGCAGCTGGGGGAACTGCTGCTGATACTGGTACTAGGAGACCTGGTGCAGCATGTGCTGTTGATAGAGCTGAAGTTGTTGGAACTGTTGCATTTGGGCCTGCATGGCCTTCATGCACTGCATCAGATCTTCCAGCTGGTTGGGGCTAGCCGCTGGGGGCACAACCGAGGGTTCGGTGAACATCGTTCCGATTGTAGCGGGGAGTGGGGCGATGACAGGTGCCATTGTGAGAGGCACGTTCAAGCTGGGGATTCCGTCCGCTGAGAGGGGGACGGTGAACTATCCGATACAGACAGTAGGAGACTGGGGTTGTTCCCTAGAGTTATCCATTTCCGTGCTTCGTCCGACGTTGCTAGAAGAAGCCATGAGCGTTGGATTGTTTCAAGGAAGAAGAAGGAACTGATAGAGTTTGGAGGGAAAGGCTTTTTGAAGCGTTTCCCACAGACGGCGCCAAATGATGTGGCGCGATCTGGGCCCTCCTAGCTGGCGGATGACAGGCTCCTTGCTGGCAACGAGCGGCACCTGAGAAGATGAAAGGAAGGATTCCAGGGGGTTTGCCTGGTGGGAATACTCCGATGCTTAAGTTAGCACTGTGTATGGAAGTAAAGAGGGCAAATGAAAGATAAGAGTGGAGGTCACGCTTATCACTATATTCGAGAGGTTGGAGGTCTCCAGGGAGTTTCTCCTCTGCCCTGGGGGCTTTTATAGGAGCGCTCTTACGAGATCGGGCATAACCGCCATTGGGCTCCTGCCGCAGTCGTTACCTGCCAAGTCTGCGCAGGTGATTGTTACAGTGTACTATCCGCTTGGTCGAGTGACACGTCCCAAAGGGGTAGGCACGCCTCCATCTGTCGAGAGACGTGGGCACAGACTGTCGAAAGAACAAGGACTGCGCCACCAATCGAGAGACGCAGCACAGTCTGTTCGGTACGGTCTTGTCAGATGGAAGCTTCCTGAGAGCGTCGCATCACTCAGTCGCAAGTTACCTCGTAGCGAGCTATCCTTGGTGCGAGCTACTTTGTAGCAAGCTCTTTGGGGTACTTCAAGGTGACCCTCATCAAGGTTGGTCTTTGGGGCAGTCTTCTGCCCAAGTGCTAGAGCGATCTGGTTTCCCTAGCTCGCGAGCTGAAATATTCTTGGAGTATTCCCTTATTGGTAGCTCGGGAAACCTGGAGCTCGCGTTGTAGCGAGCCTCTCCTTTACCTTGCCACCACGTAGCGGGTTGCTTTATGAGCCTATCACTTAGCCGTACCGGAATACGATGTTGAGCTGTCGCTTACGCTGAGTCAGCGTCCACGTGTCGCTGTTTCATAGGTCGGGTCAAATCATCCTTCATCAAATATGATGACATAGTTAAGGATGGCAATTTTCCCCATCCCCGCCAAATACTCGACTTCCCCAACCTGATGGGGTTAGGGATGGGGATTAATAGGGATCCCCCTAACCAGGGTCTGGATCGGGGATGGAGAATGAAGTCCCCACTTCAGCCTTGACCCCGATTATATATATTATTCATATTAAATATATATTATTATATATGATGTTATTTATATTTTATCAAAATATATTTTAAATATTATTTATATTTTAAATGTTTTCTTTACTTTAAATAAATTTATTTTTCAAAAAATATAATTAATTAAAAAATTTGAGAAAATGAGTTCCTGCAAGAAACCCATCTCCGTTAAGGATCAAAGATGGAGGATAACTTTTATCCCTGGCAGGGATCAGGGTCGAAGACGGGAATTTATTTTAAAATCGGGGTCAAGGACAAAGAATATGATCCCTGCCCCAAACCCAATATTACTCACTAATAATTCAATGGAAATGTAGAGAGGATTAAATACATGATAAAGAAGGAAGAAATAGAAATAAAACTTGAATGCTTGACTCCCCGATCTGTTATACAGTGACGAGTGATCCAATAAACAATGAGATAGAATAAAAGAAAGTGTTTGAAAATGTCGAGAGTGAAAAAGATGGATGAAATTACTGTTTGAAAGACCCTTTGATGATGTTGAGAGTGAAAAGGAGGGATGAACTTACTGCTTCAAACACCTCGCATGAAACAAATAAGATCCGATCTTGTTATTGTGCTTGAGAGAGAAGAGAGACTGCTCGACTGGTCGTTTCCTTAACATACAGAGGATATATCAGATTTGAGAGGAAAAGGTTATGAGTAATGACGAATAGGGCTGTTGACGATTGACTAAGATGCTTTGTGGTTGCAATCGTATGAGCTGTCCGCGCTTCACTAGTAAAACTGCTTAAGCAAGCAATCAACCGGCCACCTGCAAAAGGCCACCATTTTGTTGTCATGGTGGGGCCCTTTCTACTACCCACCGCCACCGGTGCCCATTTTTCTTTACAATGGTCCACAATTATGTAAATCGTACTATTGATCGGAGCCAATAACCAATTAACAATTTTAAATTGGGAAATTTAAAGTTCATCCACCTGATGTACTTTTTTTAGCCTGTCCGTACTTTTTCCTCAGGCTCCGTTTTGGTTATGGGAAGTTTTAGGTTTGATGGGAAAAAATGGGATGGGATGGAAAAGTGTAAAAATTTATTTTTTTATTGTTTGGTTTTATATATGAGAAAATAATAAGAAAAGCATTAACACGAGTATGTATTTTGCCGGATTCATGTAAGATGAAGAGAGCTCCATGACTGCATTGGCGATCAAAGAGAGAGAGAGAGGAAAAATGGAATGAGAGAGAGATAGGAGTGCTGAGAAAGCATATCACCGCTGCCGAGAGTTGCAACGACAATCAGAGAAAAGGAGGAAGACGGGAAGAATAGGAAGAAAAAGAACGTGAGGGAAAAGAGAGAAGAGGAAGATGGAGGGAGAGACAGTATCTGGTGAAGATCGCCGCTTCCCCTCGCAGAAGAGAGAAGAGAAAGGGAGGAAGACGGGAAGAATAGGAAGAAGAAGAAGGTGAGGGAGAAGAAAGAAGAGGAAGATAGAGGGAGAGACGGTATTTGGTGAAGATTGCCTTTGTCGTAATAGTGGTTTCTCAAGTTTTTCCATTGGGGTCGATCTAGCATCCCACATTTTTCTCATCCCATCCCTCTATTTCCCTCAAAACAAATAAGAGAAAAATGAATATTTTTGAAATATTCCATTTTTCTCATCCTCATCCTACAAATCAAACGGAGCCTACCGAATAATAAAAACTCAAATAAATTCATGATGGATTCTTACATCTTGTCAAATAAATTACAAAGACCCCCTTGTACTATGGGGTTTGTGACAAAGACCCTGTACTCTGTTTTGCAATAAAGACCCCCATGTACTATAACCGTGAGACAAAGACCCCCTTCCGTTAGCCTTCTGTCGAAAAAAGACCCCCTGTTCTGTTCGTCATTTAATTTGTTATCTGATCTTCATCTTATCTCTCTGGCAGTTGGGGTGTACCATATGATGCGACTGAAGAACAGTTTATACAAATCTGTGAAGAGGTTGGGCTGGTTGCATTACTTAGGTCGGACATTCTTTCTTAAGTTTCGAACAGAGTGATATTTTGTTTTCTGTTTTCTGTTTTGGAGTCCAGGAAGGAGAAAGCTTATGTTGTTAATTTATTCCTTTTTTATTTATCGTTTGTTAGAAATTTGTGATTGAGATGCTTCTCAACATCCTAATGCTTCAGATTAGTTATTGATTAACTGCGAAGCCAAAAGCATATGACCTTATGGGTTCTGTGAGTATTAAGGATGAAGAGACAGCTCTCGTCGCAATCTTCAGGACAATGAAAGGCAATCCTGGTATATTGAAGCTTTGTCACAGACTCACAGTAGCATTAGATCTATTATCCTGATGTGGGTACTGGGTAGTTGTATTTGCTTTCAAAAACCAAATCAACCATATTGAAGAACACCCACCAAAACATTGCCTTGTTTTGGATTTGAAAATTTCCATTTCAATTAGATTGGCCGTTGAAACAATTGAGAAAATTGTTACGACTCTCAACTTACATGCGAGTTGAATTTACTTCCTTGGAGGCTTTTATTACCAATCTCCAAGAGAAGTCGAAGACTTTCTTGCTTCTTCTACCAAGGAGATGAGGTTCAAATCCTGATATTTAGAGAGTGTTTCAAGCTGCCCACATGAAGCACATGTGAACCCAGAGCCACTTTTCGTCTCCCAAGCTCATCCACAACGCTCAAATCCTTGCAGACGTCCACGTTGAACTTAACTAGTGCTTCATTTTGACTTGTTAAGAAAACCTTCTCAAATCCCAGCAAATGCTTATTAGGGGCATTGTGTACTGATGGGGGAGTGCTGAACAGGAAAACTGTGTGGCTTCCGCTCATCCTTCCCATGTTTCTAACTCTTAAATGAATCTCAAAAGCCAGGTTTCGGCATCCTTCTTCCTCAAGATGGATAGATTTGCATTTCTGGGAGCGACAAATGTGACCCTCCTCCAGGGGAACTGAGACTAGCTTAGGTGCTCGGACAAGGTGATGGCTGAACTGAGAATAGCTCATGCCATCACCAAATGAGTATATGGTTTCACCTCTGTAAAACCGATAAGTTCTGCCAGGGTAGCCAGTGGCTGGATTTGGTCTCATGTTCATGTTTGTCATAGGGACCTTGTCTGCAAATGCTTGTGGGTACCATGTCATGGGTAGTCTTCCACCTGAATAAAAAATGAGTAGACAATTCAATCCCCAAATTCTAGAAGAGAAAGCTAGAGTCTTTCTAACAAACAACAAACCAAATCATGCTTGCTTACTTGGATTGTAATAGCCGAAGATAACATCAGCTAAAGCAGCCCCTCCAGCTTCGCCAGGGTAACCAACCCAGAGAATACTCGTAATTTTGTTGTTGGCTTTGGCAAATGAGATATCCATGCCTCCTCCAGACATGATAACAAGAATCACAGGTCCCTTGGATACATTTGCAACCTCTGTTACTAAAAGTGCCTGCTGCCCAGGAAGATGAAGATCAACTCTGTCACGGCTCTCTGCCTCGATTGATTGATCAGCACCTACTACTAAAACTGTGGCATCTGCTTGGGCTGCTATTCTCTTAGCATCATCTAGTTGGACACTGTCGCATGCCACATTGGGGCAGCCTGGCTGATAGAGAGTCGGAACCGAGGCCGTCAAGCCTTGCAGAGGAGTTGTGTATTTGCATGGAGTGCCTGCCAAGAAACAAGTGTCAATAGAGTCTATAGAAGTTAAGCTTAGCTTAATCTCTGCTGTGTTTATATCCAATAACTCTAAGGCCCCTTCAACGTTTTTTAGGATTTTGAAGGGGGGAGTTTGTCAATCGGATTGTGGTGCACATTGACCAATTTACTTATGTTTTTATTTCAAAAACATGTGGGATCCAGGGCAAGATTGAATTTTTTGGGGTATCACTTGCCTGAATAAGTGATACCCTTCTCACACTTGGGTAAGTTTGAATGCAGATTTCTGATTTTCACCAGAGAGTGCAGAGCTATAAACATTCAAAATGTCAAAAAACCCCACTCTATACACCAACGCCCGCCCATGAATTGACATCAATTCCGAGCTGGCACCCACCTCAACTGTACTTTGGGCTTAAAAATTCTAACCCTGGGCTGAACCGTCTTTCTCCCAAAAAAATCAAAATGGTCAAAAATGCCCCCAACAAGATACATTAACCCGGGTAAATTAAACAAAAAAAGATTATGAATAAGTGTAATTAGCCAGGTAGATGTTTCTTGGAAAACACTTACCCGGGGTAAGTTCGACTTAACCGAAAAAGTAGGTTCCTAAAAAATGAACAAAGCCTAAAAGCAGTAGAATTAAACGGATCCAGGTACCCTCGTAGTTGCCGATCATGGTTTTGGTCACGTTGGCATTGGGCCCGATCACTGCTAAGGACTTGATGGCTGTCGGCGACAATGGCAATGAGCCTGCGCTGTTCTTCAACAAGACAATCCCTTGTCGTGCAGCTTCACGGGCCAGCTCCTGGTGCCCTGGGGTGCATACGTCCTTTGGCCCCAGCTTCCCATAGAGCTGCTTACTGGGATCTCCATCGAAGAACCCAAGTCGCATCAGAGTGGCAAAATTGTTGATGATTGCTTTGTCAATGGCTGACTCATTCAGGAGCCCAGCTTTCACTGCAGCTTCCGTATGTTGGCCCAGGAAAGATCCACAGTTAAGATCCAACCCTGTTACAATTCCAAACCAAAGAACCAGTAACCAAAATTATTTTTTTTTGTTTTTCAGTGAATTACTGAATGACGATCAAGTTATATATGGATGGTGGGGCTTCACCTAGCTATTCATCACACATCACACAACTGGACGCGCCCATTGATCTGAGCTATCCAATCACTTGTGAGTGGTGAGTGGTGATCATCTATTAGATGGGCCACACTCCAAAGATCAATGTGAGCAGATGATCCAGCCTGATCGATCGTTATATATTTGTCGATCATCACCGGCCACAAAGCAAATAAATTAGGGAAATGCAATCACAATCACCTGCCAATATAGACTTAGCCGCAGCTTCCTCTGGGGTCTTGGTATAGTGCTGATCGTTGTAGAGCACTTGTACTGAGTCACAATCTGAAACGATGTATCTGGAGGAGCAGCGGCTTTATGTCATAAATAATTGATATTGCAAATATTAATAATGTATCACCTACTTGCTACTTCTGTTGAAGTGTTTAATTTTTTTCGCATCCAACTTCTGTTGAAGTGTTTACATAATTAAATTTTAGCTAAAATTGGGTAAAGATGTGGGGTTAAGAAGTGGGCTAAAATTTGAATTCGAGCCAAATACATAAAACTCGATTACACCCCTAGGTGCAGTGTTCTAATTTCTAAGAAGTGGGGTTAAGAAAATGACTTTAAAAATTAAAAAAAAAAAAAAATCAAGAAGATGAGGCAAAAAAGAAGAGACCCATTTAATTGCCATTCGCCTCTAATGACCCCAGCCAGGAGATCCGGGTCTGCACAGGTTGGTTTCCCATTTACTTGGTTGTAAGAGCACATGACGCTGGCCACATTCCCATCCACAACACAGCTCTTGAAAGGGGGCTGATATGTATCATCCAGGTCTTGTTTACTCACCTGTGTCACCCACAACCAAATTCACATATATATAGCACAGAAATCAACAAATAGTAATGAATGATCGATCACTAAGGACAGTTCAGTTACCTGAGCATTAAAGTGATAACGATCCACTCCCTTCCAGGCATCCACATCGTAGGCTGTATAATGCTTGCAGCAAGCAGCAACCTTAAGCCGATTCGGGTTGCCATCGTCGCTTTGTTGCAGACCTTGAACGTAACCAGCTGCATATTTACTGGCGAGGATGGGGTCTTCACCAGGAGTCTCTTGGCCTCTTCCCCATCTGGGGTCCCGGAATATGTTCACATTTGGGCTCCAATAAGTTAGCCCAGCTAGACCCACATTGTACATGGCTCTGGCTTCAGTAGAGACCACCTGTAGATATACATCTATATTTTGCTTCATTTGTTTATAAATAAACCAGTTTAACATAGAGCTCTCTAGTCAGCCATGTATGACTTTGTGTGTGTTTGTATTATACAGGCATGAAGAAAAACAAAAAAGATAAGTCTCAGGCCAGACCTTTCTTTATTCAGGTTAGGTTTGGTGGGCAAGTAGATCGACCTGCCTTGACTTTCAGAAGATATTTCTTGTGATTTTATTAGCTTCAGAATTCCTTTTTGCCTTTCACAGGGAAATCTCTTGCAATCCATGATAGTTTGGCTCAGTTTGGAAAGAGTATAAATGCAAATATGTACCGTGCAAATACATAAAAAATACAAGGTTTTGCACTCTACATATTTGTATCTGTACTCCTTCCAAACTGAGCCTTTTTGGGACTCCATATATCTTTAGCCAGCCCCCAATGCCCATCAGAAGACACTTTAGCTCACTACAGATCAATTGGGTTCAAACTCTCTATTACTAAACGATAACAAGGCCAGATTTTGGAGAACATCATCGATTAATCTGTTTCTTATTGGTGATACCAGTCAAATACAGCTCAATTGCCACTATCATGTACCCTACTTCAACAGAACAACCATAATTTGTTGTTGAAGCTTAATTACCTACTGTCCAGATTCAACCCGTAAGTACTAAAAGGCAGAGGAATTACAGAGTTGTATTCAATCATCTCTACTGCTTTATCTACAATCCTTTCAAGTTCTCTTCAAACTACTTCAATAATAAGCCCACCCACTCTTTTGTCTTTTCACGTACTATAAATGAGAGATCCAAATTCATTGAATCTTTTGCCAGAAATTCTCATTCACCAGAGTAAAAGTAAAAAAATATATAACAGATTCTACTATCAAATCAAATATTTGCAATCTGGACCACCTACTTTTTTCAAATAGCTAATAAATACTAAAGCATTTTCCTATTTTGGTCTTCTTTTCTGTTGGGGTAGGCAAGCCGTTGATGGTAAGTTGGCCATTTTTTTCTGACTTTTTCTTTTCCATCTTTACTCACTGCGTAATCAAAGCTGCAACTAGAACCAAATTAAACTTGAGAGCTACACCACTCAACCGCAGCAGTAATTAGAATATTAGGCTTAAGTGCTTAACAACTAAGGCTCTGTTTTTCTTTCTTTCTTCTTCTTCTTCTTCTTTTTTTTTTTCAGAGAAACTAAGGCTCTAAATTAACATATATGAATCATCTTTTCTGCATATCCCTCGTTTTCTTCAGTGATATATCGTTTTCGCATCCAATCAGATCAAAGTAGATGGGGGAGTGAGGCCAAATGGACTAAATAACAGCAGCAATAATAGGAATAATAGAAGTAACAGTAACAGTAAAAGAATCAACCTCTGATATTCTCAAATGCTGGTCCTGAAATTTATCAATTAAAATTAAAAGAATCCACAAATAAGTCCAATATAAATCCATATATAATACTTGAAGTACAGTCTTCTCAATTTTGCGACAATTGAGGATAAAGTTTGAATCAAATTCATCACACATGGTTAAACCCATTTCCAATATTTAAAGCAAAACCAAAACATTGATAAGCAAACAAGAAAATACGAAAAGTTGAACATTATAAAATCCATAACAGGAACTTGTCCTTTTCAAACCTAGCATTGTTATTCAAAACTAAAAACCCATCTCCAATCCTCAAATTATAAATCAAACCCACGAACCATTTTCACTCAAACGATCAAGACTCAAGATTAAACATAAAGCATTCTCCTAAAAAAAACAGAAAATGATGCTGATAAGCTTTACCTTCCCAATGGCCTGAAACAGAGAAGTGTTGAACGAAGCTGCAGTAAGAATGACCTGAGGAAAGCTCGTAGCTCCAGGTACTACACTTGAGAAATGTGTCCCAGGACCCACGTAAGACACTCCATGTAAAGCTTCAGACCACCACTCATAGCTCGGAATTCCAAGCCTAGTCACCGCCCCTGCTTTATTCACCAAAAAAATAATCTTTTCCTGCAATGTGAGCCTCTTCACTAAATCATCGACCCTTGCAGCAATACCCCATGAAGAATTGCAGAACCCAAAAGCAGCCAAGCCGGAGTTCTTGCCAACATCACAGGCAAAAACAGGAGATTGGCAGAGAACACCTTTAGAACCCATGAGAAAAAGAAAGAGAAACTGCAGAAGAATCACCAAGAAAACAGAACATTCAGCTCTGTTTCCTCCAGAAGCCATGGCTTCTGAATGCAGCAAAGGTTCGACGGAGGATATATGGGGATGAGCTTATATGGATGCGGGGTCTCTTATAACGTGTAATGTATATTCATTTATAGTCAATAAGCCATGTAAGACATGTTGTTTCTTTGCAGCCCGTGAGCGAGAGATGGAGGCGTTAATCGAGCTGGCTCTGAAACTCCATTTAATGTTACAGAGAAAAGAGTAAGGAGGAAAGAAAAAGCCAGAGGTAAAGAGAATCTAGCTTTCAGGAATTCGTGGGCCTATGCGCCCGTGAAGAGCTGTAAGATATTTTTTCTTGCTTCTTCTTTTCGCTCCCTTTAATATGAGCTTTTGGAATTGGAGGTTCTCACTTCTCACACAGTCACGCTCAGAAAAGAGAGAGAGAGTGCGGGAGAGAATGATGTAAATGTAATATAAGAGTAGAGAGATGGGGGAGGGAACGAGGACAGAACAAGAAAGAGACCATTATCTCGGGCATAGAGAAATTGAATTTGTTTGTGCCTTCTACTGAGTCACGTGAATGATCTGATGGTCGAGAAAATTATGGCTCTTTTTTTTTTCTTTTGGTAGAAAGAAAATTATGGCTCGACGCCTACACAGATTGAGCTGAGCCAAGGAGAACAGCCGGTGATTAACCAGTTGCTTTGCTAATACGCACGTCTGCGTTGTATGCGCAAGTGAATCCTTGTGACCTTGTCTAACTAATGTCCTCACATCTTTCTTATTAACTCTCTCTTCTCTCTTATCAATTTAAATTCATTAACTCTCTCTCTTATAAAAAAAAAAAAAACTCTTTTTTATCTTTCTTATTAATTCCTTTGGTTATCTCTCTTCATTAACTCTCTTTCTTCTAACAACCAACTCCATTAGTTCTCTCTCCTCTTCATTAATCCATTAAATTGCTTAAAATTTATTAGCTCTTTTTCATTTTTTATTTTTTTTTTTATTTTATTTTATCCTCCCTCATCTCCTCATCAATCTAATAAATCAAAAGCAAATTTGTTTAGGGGTGACTATTTCAATCCGACCCAAGCTTGGGCCGTTGTGGGCCAAGTCGGGCCAAGCAACCTATTAATACAATCAAAATCTAGTAGGAGATCTTTTGTTTTTTGGTTCATTAATTGGGCTACACAATGGAGGTAACCCATCCTCCATAGCTCCTTTAACTACAATATTAATAATTTTTATCTAGAAATAATTAAATACTCAAAAATAATGTATGCATGAATTGTACTCAATTTGGTTCAATCCAATTATGAATTTCACATTGCTCTTATATGGGCAACTTAGATGGGTTGGGTCAGGTTGGGGATCAATCTAAGCCTAACCCAAAGTCTTAAAACCTCAAACTCATATTTAAATTAATTTAATTATGATTTTATATATTTACATAAAAACGTAACATTTAATCATTAAAAGGAAAAATAAATAAAATAGAACACTAACAGATAATATGGAAAATGATTATTTTATTAAGTAATTAGCAATAATTTGTTATTTTTGTTAAGAACCATTAATATAATTAATCCAAATTATTCTTGTTTATGATGCATTTTTTAATTGAAATTAAATGGCACTTTTATATGAAATAACAAAACATATTTCCACCCAAAAGGGAATGTACAACACCCCCTTAGAGTATGTTCAAACTCAATTCTAATCTGCTCGTAAAATGGACTGAGATTTCTCAGATTGAGATATTTAAATTATTATTTTGTCCCCTTTACGAACAGTGAATCTTTGTTTTTAGCCGCTTTTAATTTGTTTCGAATGTAAATGACAAAGGAAAACCAAGCTTTCATCGTAGAAGACACAAATATAATTTAAAATTGCTTCAAGAAAAATTATCTATCCATTTTAACATGGAAACCAACAGAATCATAAGCGATAAATGCCAATACATCCATGTACTACATTTACTCTTAGGCTATGCTATGTTTGGTTTGAAGGAAAAGATAGGAAAAGACAGGGAAACCTATGTAAAGGTTTTCCCTACCTTTCCCTACATTTCTCTTCAAACCAAAATAAGCCTTGTTGATCAGACATTTGAAAACTCGAACCCAAATCATTATTAAATAAAAGCGGTCTTTATCACCAAATTGTAGTTACTGATATGGTTTTTGTTTTGTGAAGATAGAAAAACTACTGTAAGTAAACTTAATAAAAAGAACATCTCAGGCATGAAGCTGAATTTCTATTTCTTAGTAATAAGACAAGCTCAAATAGAACTAGAGGGTCGACTGAAGAATTTCTAATTCTTAGTAATCGGACTTACAGGGAGATAAGATCACAATATCACAAGGATCGATGTGCATCATCTCAGAGCAAGCTGCGATGAAGATAAAAATTTAAAATCTCTGGGATGATATAGGTGGTGGGCCGGGGGGCATCAGGAATCGTTGGAGTACGTGACTGTAAGGAAGAAGAGAATGAATCGACAAAGCCATGAAAAAGAGGTCACAGTCGCCGACTAAAAAGATTAAAAGTGAAAGAACGATACGAGACTCTTTACAAATTGTCTCGATCGATCAGCCTTTGTATTGTTTTCGATACTCTTAAATTCTTATTCACAGGGTGTGTCTGCTAGAGGTTGAGCCACTGGGTCCTCTCTTTTGAATATATCATAAGCGTTGTTGGGAGGGAAGAATTGTTATTTCTGCACTTTTTTTTTATCTCTTTATAAATAATTGTATCAAAGACTCAATAGTAGCTATTATGAGTTATATACTTGTTTTATTGAACAAACTACAAGTTTGAGCATTTCTAGGGACTTTAGTGGGGCTATGTGTCACCTTGTAGGGCCTTCATAGTGCTGGATGGATGGTTGGTTGGTAGCACTTTGGAGTGTCGTTTCCTGTTGTCATAAGTAGCAACCCCTGGAGTTGGGACTAGGGGCTTAGTTACGCTGATGATGATAGCCTCGCCAAATTAGGTTCGGTTTGGATGATTCTCTAGTATCAAAACCCAAAAGCGAAATTCCCCAATTTTAGACTTGGGTTTTTGAGTTTGAAAGTGTTTTGATGGTGTGCGATTTGACAGTTTTTTATTGGAAGATAGTTTGGACGTCGGGCTGGTGAAGTCAGTACGCCGAGCTATAAGAAAACAGTGTCAAAGTACTCGAGGTGAGCACTCCAATGCTTAAGTCAACAATGAGAGTAAAAGAGAGTAAGAGAGCTTAGAATGCAAGAATGAATTCAATCCACAATCACACATACCTTCTATAGGTGAAGGAGGAGCTTTTATATAGGTAAGGTCTCACGTAGCATGTCCGATATCTCTAGGGGAAACGTGACTTATCAGCTCGCCACCCTTGGAGGTGGTTTTAGTGGATAGTGATAAGGCTTATCCAATTATCTCTGAAGCGGGCGGCATGGAAGTCAATTCTATATATCGACCAGGCAACGTGGTCCTGAAGGAATTGGAGATGATAAGTCGCACGTAGAGGAAGTCGGTCACCACCTCGGACCTTGGTCAAGTTAATGAATACTCAATAGGAGGTTGGCCCTCCTACCGATGTCTTTAGTCTACTCCTATTGAGGTCTCTAATCTGCTCCGCCAAGGTGATGCTGGGCGCTCGCAGCCTCTCAAAACGTCTGAGGTAGAGCCAAGGTGGTTTTCAATGGACTTGGCGAGGACACGTCTCTGCCCTACATGGTGCGAGGTATTATGTAATGGTTCGGAAATGCCATGTGGCGCAAGATCACTAGAGGGTCAAATTACCCCTCATCAATAATGTTGTTAAAATCAACTCTTTTCAAATGCCCAAAACACTTTTTGATTCACTTTTATTTTCTACAGCCAAAAACTCAAAAGCAAACGAAAACCCTTGTCCAAATGGAGGCTTAATAACTCTCCTTACGAGGATGTGGAAGGATGGTTAGGAAAAATTGGTCAATGAATTTACTATTGACTAACTTTAAAGTTCTTTTGGAATCAAGTATTGGGCCCCATGGTAGAGAGAGTTTCATTTAATTAAATAAAACTTAAAGTGGGTAATTAACTACTTTTCTCACCTAGGCGAAAACTTATAAACATGATGGGAAAAATTTATCCTTTTTAACATTAATTTTTTACGGATAAAAAGGTTATTATATTATTTACGAAGAACATGAATAAATGAACTTATTCGAATAAATATTTCTCGAAAAACATTTAGTTAAATAAGTGAAAAATTTATGAATAAACGGAGCCTAAAAAGAATACAAAGATAAATTTTGTATACTCAAATACTATATAAAAATGCATTGCTATGGCCCCACCTTGAATTGGATGGGGCCACATCAATACATTCACAGTTTTACAGTTTTACTGCATCCTAGGAAAGGTGAACCTCAAATAAACCAGTGTCGTGAGCTGGATTAGGAGTACCCAACACTGCAACACACATTCCATCAATCAATCGACTCTGAATCCTTTTACTCCCCGGACATGATATCTGATATTGGTTACAACTAGGTGGGAATCTTTTCAATATTTTATTTTCTAAATCAAATCTAAGTGGATATTTGCCCTCGTTTTTGGTGCAGTTCGAAAAAGTGGTTAAATGTGATTATAAATGTCGAACTTATGCCTTTATCAAACACATGCCCGAGCGCCCTTTCCACTACAATATATAAAACATTTATTTATTTTGTCCTAATTTATGATAAAAGTTAAATTTAATTATATAATATCAAATTTGATTTTATATATTAAGCCTTTACTTGAAATATGAATATATGATATAGGACTGATGCGTTGATGTCGATGACGGACATTCAAATCCATAGATCGAGAACTTAATTTTCAATCATCACTGCTCTAATGGTGTACAAGTAATTAACAGTGAAAACTTACTATTTTCTCTTGATTGAATATTTTTACACATAAGGAGGTAGCTTAATGGAGGCCTTTAAATACCATCACCTTCCATGTGGAAGGATGATATGGTAAATCTATACAGACTCTTTTATATAATCCTAGAGATAAAATATGCAGAGAGGTGGGGAGTGGGGACATATCACAAACGTAATCATCATCATCATCAAAATGTTGTCCCAACTATATAACCGACCCCATATTAGACAAGGCTTAGATGATGAGGAGGATGAATTATATACGTCGTCCCCACCTCTCACAAACTTTATCATTATACACATGCCATTTTCAAAGGTTTATATAAATGATTAAAACGGGTTAGAGTACTAAGATAACGACTAATCAAATGCTATCATAGACATCGTAACCAGTCAATCAGTCATATAAGATATTTATTAACCAATCGAGGAGTGGTTCTTTGGTTTGTTAGCTGGTTTGGTTTATTCTAGAATTGATGTCGAATCTAGTCTTGCAATCCCCGACTTAGGGAAAGAGGGGGTATTAGTGGTGCATGACACTAAATACTAAAACAAGTCATAC